CGTGTGCGGGTCCGGGACAAGGCCGGGCCTCCCCCTGCGCGGGCGGCTCCTCTTCCCCCCGTCCTGTGTCTCCCCTCAGGGCGGCTCACCCGCCCCCCGACAGCGCGCAGGGCGCCCCGGGCGTTCAGCTCTTTAAGGCTTCAGGCCCGGGCCCCCGTGGCGTCCAGGGCAAACAGCGCGGCTCTCCCAGCCACGGCGGCCGCTGTCCCTCCCCGGCCAGGGGTGACCCAGGCGCAGCAGGCCCCGCCTGTCCGCCCGCCGCCCCCCACTCCTTGCGGGGGTCCTCCCGCCCGGTGCCTGGGCCCGCGCCCAGGTCTTGTCCGCGTAAGGAAGCGGCTCTGAGGGCGAGCGCGGTGACCGTGTCGCTCCTGCCGCCTGCAGACGGCCGCCGGCAGAAGTCGTACGCCCTGGACATGCTGGCGGCACTGCGCCACCTGGACTTCGACCTCGTGCAGTCGCGGCTGCAGAACCTGTTTGCCCAGAGCCGCTGGAAGCAGCAGTACAAGGTGCGTCCGGCCGGACGGTGCGGGCAGGGGGCGCCGGGCGAGCGTCGGCGTCCGGCGCCCTCCCTGCGCTCAGCCACGCGCTCTCCTCCTGTAAGATTGACGTATTCGTGCACACGGAACTGGGGTGCGGGCCCGAGGCAGAGCGGGGCGCAGGACGGGCGGATCACTGCTGAGGGGGCAGCGGGGAGACCGAGGGGCCTGCCGCGCCCTGGGGTCTCCGCCGGGGAGGCCACGCCCCTCCTTTGACTCTCCCCGGGCGGCCACGGCCCAGCGTCCACCCTGAGGGCCGCCCAGCTGCTGAGCACCGGCAGCCGCGGGCGTGGCACACCCCGGACGGGCGGGCCGCGGGCGGCGCCTCCAGAAGGCCTGGGGCTCGGGTCGCAGGGCCGGCGGCTTTGCGCAGGCCCAGAGGCCCGAGGGGCTGGACGCCGCCACGCTGTCCCTGCCGGAGGCTCCTTCTGTGGGGCCGCCCCGTCACCAAGGCGGGCGGGCCAGTCAGTGGGCGCCTGCCCGCCGCCCCCGGAAGGCTTCGAGGGGTGAGCGCGCCCCTTGGCCTGCGGGCGTCCGAGCCCACGCTGCCCCCGGCGTCTGCTCTGTGACCTCTGGCGTAGGGGGCTGATTTCCAGGGGTTCTCTTTCCCTCCCTATTCTGCCGCTTTGCGCCCTGACGACTAGCGAAGGGGGCGGGAGGAAGTGAAGGGCGCCCCAGCTCCTGCGGTTCTCGGCTGGCCGCGACGGCCCGGGCGGTGTGGGCGTCAGGCCGGCAGTTTGGGGGGCAGGAGCTTGGGGCCCCCACACGGGGTGCTTTAGGAGAGGGTCGCGTCAGGCTGGTGTGACCAGCCAGGCGGGGTGTAGGCCGTGGGTGGGGACCCGGGCCCGGGGAGGCCTGGGGTGGGGACGGGGACATGGGTGACGGACACTCCGACGCTCGTCCGTGTAAATCCGAGCGGCAGCGATGAGGCTGTGATGCCCCAGCGCCAGCCTGCGGCAAACTGAAGACTCCGCCTCAGGGGGCTCCGGGGGGCGAGGGCGCGGCCGGCCGCAGCCGACTCCGCGGACCGCTGCTGCGGCCAGGCTGCCCCTCGGGCTCGTGGCGCCGGGGGCTGTTTCCCCTCCCGGCAGCGGCCGTGTCTCCTGGGCAAGCCTGAGGCCGCCCCGCCGCCTCCTCCGCCGCCTCCTTCTCCTCTGTGTGAACTAGCAGCCGCTGCGCCCTCCTCGCTGGCCTCTGGCGGACGCGGCGGCGCGGGAGGAGGCCCCGTTTCCCAGATTGATTTTCCACTTAACAGCCGCAGTTACTCGCCCTTGTGGCCAAAAGGCTTGGCCGGAGGCGCGGGGTGTGGGGACGGAGGCGCGTGTGGCCCGCCCGGCGGCCGCCC